ACTCCTCCTCTTCATCATCGTCCTCATCGTGGCAGTGAGTGATCTCCTGGGGAACCTGGGGGAACATGTTGGGAGGTTTGATCTCGCTGAAGGAGCGGGTCAGCTGGGTGCGTTTGCACTCCAGGTCCTTGCAGTCTCTGCAGTGGGTGCGGTTCCGTGTGGCCAGAGGAGACTCCAAGTCTATGTCCACGTGGGTGTGCTCGACAGTCGACTCGTGGGGCATCTTATTAGAAAGAAGAGGGGAAAAAAGACGTTAATGATTCTAAGGCTTGTACATGATGATTACATCATATCGTCATGGTTACCGACAGCTCAGAATGTTCAGTTTTCTGATGAATTAAATATAAGGTCACTTCATCTAACTCTTGTTGAACCCAGCGAGCGCAGCTGATTGGCTGAGAGATTCGAGCACGCTTCCATCTCGACTGTTTTCTTGAAGCTGACTGGCTCCTGGGTCTAAATAAGGTGCCGTGCAAATATACACTTCCTGTTTTGTGTTATTCTTTGTCGCCACTTCCTCAGACTCTTGAGTTGCGTCGCCTGTAGTGTTTAAAAAGGTTCTAACTAATGATACAAAATAAAATAGAACCATTGTTGGGTTTTAATTGATACTTTTTCAGGTTTAAGCTTTTCGTTAAAAGTTGTATTTATAAACTGGACAGTTGGCAACACAAATCTATGAGAAGAGTTTGAGGAAAAACTGGAATATTTTGTAAATTTCTGATCGCTTGTGATCAAGAGAGCAGCAAGTCGTGTTTCAAGAGTTCAGTTTTAGAAAATCATGACCTATTTGTGGGCGTGTGGCTTAGAAAGCCGTCTTCTTGATCACCCACATCCACACAACCAGCCGCCCCCATGTTCATGATTAAATCTCCTGGAAGGACACATCTGACATGAAGATACGCAGACTTTGTTTGTTTAAATACTTATTTATCATGGACGTGGTTTTTTAGCCTTCAGGGCTGCAGCCTTGAACGTTTTCTATCAAAGCAGAGCTCCAGTGGAGTGAGGCGTCAAAATGCTGCTCTGAAATGTATGGAAACGAAACTGAGACGGGTTTGAGGCGACCGCAGCCACTGGGACAATTTTGAGACCGACTTTGTTGCACAAATATTTTAAGCATGATTAAAACTCTGGTAAACCTCTGCGACCTGCGTGAGGAAGTTAGGAATCACTGAGAACGTTTTGTGACACTTTGCAGACTCTCTGGTGAATGCTGTTCAGAAACAAACAGCTGCAGCACAGTGAGATACTGGCCGTCAATTATTAAATAAAAACACACATTTAATAAAAATAATTAGAGCCTGACCGATATATCGGTAGGACCGATATTATAGGCCGATACATATCGGTATCGGTGATAATTGTCCCATTATGCGCCGATATAAGCGCTTCTAATTTTCACCCCAACATGCTGGAACCAGCTGTAATTGTGCAATGTGTCCAGCAGAGGGCGTATGGAGACTACTTTCAAATCAAGGCCGTTCACTTCAACTTTCAGCACAGCGCTTATTTTACTGAACAGAGCATGGTAAGTTTATTTTAACTGATCTGTAAAATAAAATAACGAAACAAATTATCTTCCACCCTCCTGCATGTCATTAGCTACATGCTTCAAGTTAGCAAGCTAACGTTTGGATAACCTAGCATAGGCTATTGTCTTGTAAATCTTTATCCAGAACCATAAATCTAACATAGAGGTAAAATATATTAATGTTAGTAACATTATCTTTGTCGTTCTCAATGAAATGCATTGTTTGTCTGAAATCTTTATTTCTCTGCAAAAAAACAAAACAAACCTCTGCTACGGTCAATACCAACTAGGCCTTCACCATACGTGACTGTTTAAACAATGAACAGGGAAGGGCGCTTCTACGTTTACAGTCATTTATACTTTTGTAACGCTTAATAACTTTATGGTGAATAGTGGAGGATAGAAACTGTGAGCGCACGTTAGGAAGACAGTTTTTATGGCTAACACCTGTAAGCCTAGTGTGGGTCTTTGTGTAGCATGGACATGAATAGCTTAGCTTCATGGTTGCTAACAGGTGTGCTAAATAAGTAATCCCCGATCCACTCGGTGTTTACTTAGATTTTCAGGTGTACACAAAGCTCAAAAAAGTTCTGCCAATATGTTGGTTATTGGCATTAGCCCAATATCTGTAATAGTGATAGCCAAAATATCCATATTGGTCAGACTCTAATAACAATCAACCAACAAAAATGCCACATCGCACATTTTACTCTGAATCAATCAAGTTGAACTCTCTTAAACATGACTGAAAAGACTGAGTTTAATATAAAATATTAACAACTATAAAGTTAAAGCCAAATCTGACCTTAAAGTTGTGGGATGTTTGATGAACATGAACCGACTCCGACGTGCAGCTACTCACCAGGACGTGCGCAGCTCTGAACAGGTAGCTGAAGGGGTAATACAGCAGGTTGATGAAGGAGGCGGCGTACAGGTCGGCGTAACGCATCACCTGGGAGGCGAACAGGGTCTGTCTGGAGCCGCTGCGGAACAAGCTACCCATCATGCCGTAGCACATGTCCATGTCGTGCGTCACTTTCTGAGGAAGGACAACGAGGAAGACGATGTTAAGAAAGGACAACAGAGACAAATCTTTTTAGAGGTTTTGTGTTCAGGTATATACTGTATATAAAATATAGTGCTGCTTTTTTAATCTGCAGGTTTGTGTAAAATTATTGATGTGGTAAATATATTTTTAGATCCAAATGCATTATTTTGTTGCAACTGATAAGAAACTATTACAAGTAAAAATGTTAGGGTTTTTTTGGCAAGGTTAATTAAAATCTAAACAAAATTTTGCATATTTTTTTACCCTTAACAATCCCACTTTTCCATAGTTTTAATAGAGAGTGACCCTGTTCGTTTTCTCCAAAGCCCTGAATTTAAAGAAACTAAAAGACTCATTGATGAGATGTGGTAACGAGTAATTCTGTCTCAAACATACTGTATAGAACAGGGCTATTCAACAGGCAGAACAATCAGCCCACCAATGGGTTCATTTTTAAATAAAACTAGACTTTAAACTGTAAAACAAACTTACTTAATGACAAGAACTGCTGGATTTTTGGCCCCTGAGCTCTTGGTTTTCAGTGACTGTGGCCCCCTGAGCAATTTAGTTGAATAGTCCTCGTATAGAATATGAGAGAAAACTCAAGTGATGGAAGTTGTACCTTGACTCTTCTCTGAATAGTGCTGATGTCAGGCCTCTCGTTACTACTGCTGTCCAGATGTCTGAGGAAAGACAAGGAGAAGGACGATGAGGACAGGGTGAGGGCGTCGGGGGGGGGAGGGAGGGATACTGATATCAGTTTGCTGAAACGTAGTACGTCAAAGAGGTGGCGTAACAGCCAGTCGTGCCAGGCTATAAATACTGTCAGCGAGTCTGGTTATCAGGTGGTTTGGGTATTCACCCCTTCAGACTTTAACCTATTGACCCTGTTGTTCTCTCTCCAATCTCTGCCCGCACGTTTTCAACCAGGCTGCAGGAAGCAAAGTGCAGCGGAGCTGGCGCAGGAGACAGTGAGGAGCAGAAGAGGGGCCCGAAGGTTGCAGTTCTTACTTGTAAAGTTCGGCCAAGAAAATGTCCAAGCCTTGAAGTTCCTCGAATAATGCTGGAAAACACACACAAACGAGAATCAAACCTTGTTTTCTTTAGATTATTCAAGGGCGTTATTTAAAAACTGTGTGAAACAAACATATGCTAACAATTGTAACAGTATGACCAACTGAAGATTAGTAAAAGTACAGAAACAGATCAGTGTTGGTATCTTTCCACAACAATAACAAATAAATAAATAAAAACAGCCGTGACTGAAAGCAAAGAAAGCTCCGGTTTTGGCTCAGTCTCAGAAATTATGGCGCTTGTAAACATGGTGCATTCCAGTTTGCCCCCCGACCCGAGCGCTTCTTTTCATAAGACTCAAAACGTGATGGAAGCTGAGATCAGAAAGTCAAGTATCTTAACTAGGCTTGACACAATAACAAATTTTGCTAAGCGATTAATTGTCTCAGAAATTATTGAGATAAACGATAATATTGTTTGAAATTTGACAATTAGTAATCGTCCAATTTAAGAAGAAATGTTGGTCCATTTTTGTGTGTAGTACCTTTTTTGACCACTGGACGACAGTATAAGACTGAACCAAAGGATGGATAGTGAGGGAGCGAGCAGCATGTGTCTAAGAAAAATGGGAGGGAGGCCCCTTGACGTGACATGGGCTGTCTCTCGTTCTGGTTTTTCAGTTCTCAAAATGGCGGACGCTCTGTGTGGTTTGAGCTCTTTAGCATAGCATTTGTCAAAAAGATTTTAATTTTTTTTTTAAATCAGTAAACAAGTTCTCAGTTTCTTTTTGCAGAGAAAAACTTTTTACACAAAGGCACGGGTTTCAACCGTGAATTTTGGAGCTTTAACAAGACGAAGGTTTTTTCCTCGAGGTTGGCCTGTTAGCTCGTAGCTTAGCTGCTTTTAAAGATTCAAAAACGAGATTTTGGACGTTAAAACAAATTTTAAAGAGAAAAGAGAAAAGAGAAAAGAGGGAGGGGTCAGTGAAGAGCACTGGAGTTGAGTCTTTTGTCGTCCAGTGTCTTCAGTAGAAAGAGAGAGACACAAAGAAACGATAAAGCCGATAAATGAAAATGAGGTCGATAATTTTCATTTATCATGCGATTAATTGATTTATTGTTTATCGCGACGACCTAATCTTAACCTTGGAATTTAGCTTGAATAGTTTTCTTGGCTACTTTTCAACCATCTGCACTATCTGATTACCGGTAATCAACCTGGGGTTGCATGTAATCTTGCATCCATGTCCTGGGAGGTTGTCCATTGTTCCAGGAACCTTGTACTTTTTAATAATGTCGACCACCAGCAAAACAAGAACACAAAGCAGATGGTGTTGTAGCGTTGAGCTTTATAATCACCGTTCTGAGCTCCTCACACAGCTCTGGCCTTAGATTTCTCTGCTCCACGGTTAGCGTGGCGCACTCAACCGTAACAAACAGCAACAAGTTTGTTCCTTTTTAATAAAACTAAAGGGATGATGAAAGGTTTGGGGCGCATGCGATACCAGTTCGGGTCAACTTGCTTGAAACATGACAATAATGCAAAGATTAATATTCTCTTTAAAGATACCAACAAATCGGTCTGTACTATCTTAGCTTATGTTTGTAAAATAAACGACAAACGCCTTTTCACAATATTTGCTTGTAGTAAAGGTCTAATTCACCAGAACAAGTTCAACCATGGCTATTTGTTGTTTATTTATTGCATAAAGATGGAATCACATCAATAAGACATGCTGGGCTGAAGATCGATCACCGTTTGATATTGTTACTGGTCGTTAGTCACAAACCCAAACAATCACAAATAACTAAATACAAATAATTCTGCAAAAGGAAAACTTTTGCTTTTAAAAAAAGTATAAAAATTTGCAGTATTTCTGAAGGTTTGTAGCAACACTCACAGCTCTTGTCGGTCCAGACGTGCAGCTCCTGGGCCAGTTCAGGTATAACCAGGAACGTCCTCCAGCCTTGACGTTTCTTGGACTTGAGGATGTCTCCAAAGATGTGGTCCCCAATGTATAAAATGTCCTTTCCTTTGGCCCCCAGCAAGTCACACACAATGTCTGAAGAACCTTGAGAAGAATTACATGTTCTTAGTTGCATATTTTGCATTTTTTGGTACAAAAATAAAAAAAATAAAAAAGAAATTCAGTGAGAGAGTGAAGGACTTGCCTCCAGAGTACACTATTCCATGCTGCAGGGGTCCCGTGTAGGTTCCTATTTTTAGGCGTCCTGTAGTCTGGAATGAGGAAAACATCAGATTTATCTAACCTAAATGAGGTCGGAGTTGTTTTAATGCTGCTTTACGAGCTGCGCTGCACTCGTGACTTCTCGAGTCATTTTTCCAGCTCACAGCAGAACACCTACTGAGTCATATTTTTTATAACGTGCACAGACTGTGACCCTCAAGTCGTACACACAGGTGTGTGTGATCCTATTCTTCTCACCGTGTCGACTTGTCGGAGCACCGTCCCCTCCCCAAAGAACAGCGGCTTCCTGGCATCCACAAGGATCAGATCAAAGTAAGACTGCCAGGGTCGGTGGGCGGTACCCGGCTGTGGATGGAACAAAGACAAGCAGGTGCATGTCCACATATTAATATGTTGGACACGTTTTTTTTACCTTTTTCTCTGCAACTTTAGCAGAACGTAATTTTACCTTTGGACCGTGTGGGAAGTCGAACAGGTAAGTCATGATTTTCTGTGGGAAAAATCAACATAAAGTGTCGAGTCAAGTCCAATTCAGCTTTGTTTAAATGTAAAGGAGCTGGTTTTTACTTACATCTGTGTATTTGTAGTCACTGTTGGTTGCTAAGAAAACTTTGGCCACTTCATTCATCCGGCTGAGGAGGAGAGGAAGCTTCCCCTGATGAGAACGGAGGACAAAAAGAGAAAAGCATATTTCAGAACCAGCCTCTTCACGGAGTGGCAGACACTCACAGACACTCACAGACACTCTGCTGAGCCCCGAGGACTTACATCTCTCACCACGTACTTCTCCAAGTTCTCAACCGTCTTCTCTTTTAACGTTCCCTGTGATGAGAAACACGAGAAAAATTAACTACTGCAAAGACCATCCACAGACATGACTAATGTGGCGTCCAACCAATGTCCCTAAAAGGACAGAACGTCCTCAGAGACACCGCGTTTCTACTAACCCCTCTCTCTATGTGCTAATCTACAAGTCAGGATGAGTCGGCATACCCTGACCACCCACAAAACACTGACTGTATGATAATTAACCCTCAGTGTTAATAATAACCCTTTGTGCTAATTAACCCTCTTTCCTGAGAAGACAGACATTCAGTCTCCAAGTGAAGTCAGCATCAGCAATAGTGGGGAGTGGTGGCGCAGAGGTTAGAGAAGGTGGGCCTGTAATCGGAAGATCGCCGGTTCAAGCCCCGGTACAGACAACATTAAAAATGTGGGTGGGGTAGGTGAAGAACACACACCTGCCCCCACCCTCATTCGCCCCACTCTGGCCCCATGAGCAAGGCCCTTAACCCCCATCTGCTCCCTAAACAGGTCTCTCTTGAAAATGAGTTCTCATGGCTCAATGAGACTACCTGTATAAATAAAGGATAAATGAAAATAAAGGATAAATTAAAAAATTGACAGAACCCGATCATAACCTCAGGATAACAGAACTATGGTTGCCATAGTAACAAAGGCAGTACACCCACCAGTTGCACAGAAGCTTCAAACAGACCACCTGGTATTTTCAATGTGCGTGTCAGGAACCAAATGGTGTTTATGTAAAAACAAGGTGTTAACATTTTCAACAAAAGCCATTGTGTTTCCCCTTTAAAGACGTTGAGAGGAATGTTTAATTATAATTAATTATGCAGCTTGTTCACACCCACGGTTGGTAGCTGCATTTGACTGGTTAAGATGAAGGGCACGTTCACGTCGTGTGTCAGGTAAGCTGACACGTGAAGTTGGAGTTGGTGAGCAGTCTCGGGTGGAGGAAGTTGTCCGAAGCCGACAGAAGTGGGACGTCTGTGTGGAGAGTTGGCTCTGAGCCAGCCCAGAAGCCCACGTGACTCCGAGCCAGTCAGCTGAGAAATGGAGAGAAGTTCTTAACTTGCTCAGACACCCCGGAGCGATGGTAACGTCTTGCCAAATGAAACACACTCCTGAAGAAAGACATCCCTTCTTGGGATGGCCTGCCACTGGCGTTCACCCCACATCCATTGTGGTAATGAGATGGACATCTCCCGGTAGAACAAAGTCTTTCTTCTGATGAGAACAACTCTGTGCTAACTCGAGTTCTTTTAGACATTTACAATTAGTTCACAAATCTTGGATACAGTTTACCTAAATTTCAACATAGTCCAAATTAAATACTTCTCAAAGTTTTAGACTATTTACATAATTCACTTTCTGAAATAATACTATTGATTATTCATTCATATTTCATATTCGCCATAATTTCACACTGTTGTTTACTGTTCACAAGCTGAAAATAAATGTTCCAGAATTGTGTATTTAAATGACCAGATTCTTGTGTCTTTCTTTGAGTGAGGGGAATTACAATATTGTTCAAGGACTCACATTAGAACTTAAATAAAGGTCTATCAACATTTATTACATACCCTTGAACGGTTAGCACAAACACCTGTTAAAAGACGTTCAGACCTCGCAAGCATTACTCCTACACTAGCAACGATTAATACTGGCTCAAACTGTTACAGTTTAATATCTATACACGAAAAAAATACTATTTTATGTCTTCCCTCACAAAAAAAATAAAAAGTTACAACTGATTAAAGCTGTCTGATATGGGATACTGCAGCTACAGAGAGTAGACAGAAAGCTGATTTAATCCTCACGTTACTCCGCTTCATACATTAAAGAGCAGCACACTGAACCTTTGGTTTCCTTTGAACCAATAAACAAACAGTCGGCGAGTGCGTTTATGTTAGAGAAAAGCCCGTGCACAGCTGGTAAGACACTGTTTACACCACAGAGTGCTCTATAAATGTGTGTTTGAAAGAAAGAATATTCAATTTGAGCTGCTTTCTAAACTACTGTAGCTGAGATTTCAGAGCTTGGATGGATGAAAGCTTAAATAAAGCTTAGACTGAATTCTGTTCAGGTCGTTGGGCAATAAGTTAAAATGCCAGCCTGCAACTCTTGAGGTAGTTTAGAACCATTACCTCATCCTTATTTTCATCTTCAAGCATTTGTTTCCATAATTTACTGGACTTGAAATCTATGAATTCTTCCGTCAGCGACTAAAATGTTCCAACACGAGCAGGACATCCTCAGCATGCATCGCTTTCAAAACCTGCCTCGTTATTCATCTTTCATTGTATTAAGTTATCGCCTCATTTACTTGCATTTTCCTGAATCTTATACGTGTACGGCATCTTTTTTAACTGTGGTTGGAAATTAATCAGACTTTACAGACTTGAACTTGTTGACGACCTTTATTTTGAGTCGTTTGAGACGCTCATTTGTAAAGTTTGACACTAAATGTTAGCGGCAACGCAGCAAAAAAGCAACAAAAAAAAAAAAATCTAGAAATCTGTTGTAGTTTCAAAATTTGTCATTTGGAGATCAACTCATATTCAACACGCCGTACAACGTTTTGTCAAAGCTTTTGCTGTTCAGAGCTCACACAGCCTCCGTCCTTCAATTTTATTCATTAATTCAGCCTTTATTTATACAGGCTAGTCTCACTGAGTCACAAGGACTCATTTACAAGATAGACCTGTTTTAGACATACAACATATAAAGGACAGAACAATAAATTACAGTAAAATGCAATTAAAATAAAAGTAATGTTATAAAACAATAAAGCAAGGCACCATAAAACAAGATAAAATGCTAAAAACAAGAACATATTTGCGTTGATGTTTCTATTGACCATATCAAATGTTTAAAATCCCCTAAAGAAATCAAGGTGGACAATTTCAGTTCCTGTTGCAAGGTGTTCCAGGATACAAGAGCAGAGAAAGAAAAGGCCTTTTTGCCAAGTTCAGTCCGCACTGAGGGAACGCTGCAGGTAATGGACTGAGAGCGAATGCTGTAACTGCACTGACGACATGACATGTGGGAGGAGATGAAGGCAGCAGAACAAGGAGCGATTTATAGATGAAAATGAACCAGTGAGAGAGCCTACATGTAGATAATGACCAACTGACCAGTGAGTACAGGGTGCAGTGATGGTACGGTAGTTACAACCAGTTATGAATCTTAGCACACCATGGTAGACAGCATCCAACATCTGCCAGCAGCTGGCAGGGGCATTCATGTAAATAATGTCACCAAAGTCAATGGCTGGTAGGAAAGTAGCAGCTACAAGGTGTTTTCTGACAGTCATAGAGTTAAGCAAGATCTATTTCTGAAAAAGAAACCCAGTTATAATTTCAATTTCTTTATCAAGTTTTCAATATGTGGTTTAAAAGATAGATGGTGCATCAACCAAAACTCCAAAGTATTTGTAAGAATCTACAATAGGAACACCATGCATAAAAGAGATAGGTGTAAGAACTGCTGGCACCAAACATTCTGTTTGAAAACAACCTCTCTTTGGTTTTATCAGCATTTAGCAACAGTTTGAGATTAAATAAGTCTGACTGAATTTTGTCAAATGCAGACTGTAGAAGCTGGAAAACTTTGACAGCTGTGTTAGCTGGACAATAAACAGTTGTATTGTCAGCACAGAGATGCAAGGATGCATCAGGAAGGTTTTGACCTACACTACTTATACAAATGTAAAAAGAAAATTGTAACAAGAGTGGGTCCTAAAACTGAGCCTTGTGGGACACCATTATGTAACAGTTAGGTAGCTAAATAAAGTACAGTTATGTCGAACATATTGCCTCTGGCCTGAGAGATAGTTTGAGAACCAGCTAACAGTGTGATCTGAGAAGCCAATATCTGAGAGCTTGTGGCATAAGATGTCATGATCTACAGTATCAAAGGCTTTGGGCAGGTTTAAGTAAAGTGCAGCACAGTAAAAATGTTTTTTATGAATATTCCTAAACCAAATATGACAGATTACAGTTTAATTAAATCAGAATAATGACTCTTGATAGTAATCAGGTGATTATTTAATTTGTGGATTCCTGTCCACTTCAGTACCCACAGCTAAAAGGACCCGCTATAAGATCTAGTTTCTTGCAGATGCAGACTTCATACAAGACGTTGCATCTCTAACTTTTTCTTTTTTGGCACTGCATTCGAACTGAACTGGCAAGAACAAAAATGCTCTTATAACAAAAAAGATGTAAAATGACAGAAAAATATATACAGAGTATTTTAATTTAGGCCAAACAGGTTATTTAAGTGACATTACACTGATGTAGAGCGCGTTTAGTCGGATCAAACTACTTTCAACGTGGTAACAGACCCGTATGTTTGATGTGCGCGCCTCAGAAATCCTCTGTTGCTGAATTTTTTTTACCTTGAAGTGGACCCAATCCACAGCGTCCCGGACGTCCTGGAACATGCTCTTGTAGGACATGAACAGGTCACCATCTTTGAAGCCCGTTTCACAGCTGCGAAAGGGGAGCAAAGAGACACACGAGCACAGCCGTCGGACAGGCCAAATCTTTACAAAGGATTTTTATAAAAATCGTGACATTTGTTGTTGTTTTTTTCTGTTTGCTTTTAAATGGGATAGCCTTCCCTTGTTGGAGGGTCCCCAGCCAAACAGGAAAGCATTCTCCCCCTAAAAGACCAACAACCAGGTTTCAGAGGACAAAGGACATGCAGCCATTCCAGATTACATTCTCAAAAAAATTAAATAATAAATATATAAATTACAGGCCATTAATCTTCTTTACAGAAGCATTTAGAAAACATGAAATGGTTTCCATCTGTGTTGACAGTTAGTAAAGAAACTTTAAATACCATCTCATTTTACTGAGAATCCATGCTCTGATAACATCTGATACAACAAATTAATACTTTATGTTGAATAAAAACATGAAATCCCATTTGATGACCATTTGAAAAGAATTAGCTGGAATTAGAATTCGAGACACCAGGAGATTTCCATGCTTTAGGACTCGTTTTAGCCCCCGTGTGGCTTGCAAATGTCTTTGTGTCGTCATGCAGAGCTCAGAAACGTGTTGTTAAATGACACGTCTGTAAAATAAAACTGAAACTTTCTTACCTTGTGTATCTGTCACAGTTGGAAAAGAAATCCACAAGGCATGCAAAAAGGTAGGTTTCTTTAAAACAAAGAGGCATTTAACGGTTACAAAACAGTTCGATCAAATAATTTGAAAACTTCTTGTAAACAGTTTCGCCATCTCTGTTTTTGCAGACCTTACCTGGCAGGTTGAACAGTGTGTTCAGGATATAAAAACGCTCTGTATCGTCCCTCTGAATGAACTTATTTGGGTACCTTTCACGTATTTCTGGGCTGGAAAAACAAACAAAACGAAACAAGACAAAAATGCTTTTTTTGTTTTGTTTTTTTATGTGCCTTTTTCATCTGTAGTATGTCGGGTAATGCAAGCAGAAAGAGCCAACTTACCCTCGAAGGAAGTTGAATCCATGGACACAAACCAGGATATTACCGTAAGCATCAACCTTAAGGAGGTTTCCATACATGGTATCAAACACCAGACCCCTGAAAGTGGGAGGAAAAAAAAACTGCAAGTCAGAAACAAACTGTTTCAGCATGGATTGTTTATTTAAAGTATTTAAATTTAAATTGTAGAGAAGTGCAGCTGGACAGCAAAGGGTTAACACTTCACAAAGCCAATGCAGCAGGAGGAAAAATGTGTGGGTGGCAGAGAGTGGAGATCATGACAGGCTGCAGAGGGAGCTTCTCCCTGCACCTGTGGGCTGCACAAAGGTGCAGCAGGTGCAAAATCATTTAAAATAATTTAATTTAAATAAACAATCCATGCCGCTCGTGTGGCTCATCCATCAATTAGCCATTTGTGTGTCATGTCTACTCTTACTATGAAAAAAAAAAAAAAAAAAACGCGAAAGAGGAAGACAGCGAAAGTCGAACCGCGAATTAGCGAGGGACTACTGTATTCATAAAGTTTGATTTATAAACGGAGCTGAACTCCGATTCTCGTATTTTCTTTGGACTCTAACTAAAAGATCAAAGGAGGAATCAAGGGCCAAAAGTGTTAAAAAAATGAAAGCAAAACAATTAGCAGTAGCTGCCCATTAGCCTGACAACCGGTCTGTCGGTGAGACGTGTCTGACCTGGTGGGAAATGATGGATCGTAGACGAAGCTGAGCAGCTCCTGGGGGTAACCGATGGAGACCAGGCGTTCCACCGTCAGCTCAAAGCCCAACGACTCGTACTCGGGCGACTTGTACACTGAAAGAGACACAAAAGCATTTCAGCTTACAGGCAAGAATGCAACAATTTCTCACTATACATGATTTTGAAATTTTTCATTTGGGAGCTCCTAAAACACTGTTTCTGTGTGGACGCAATGTTAAAACAAAACAAAACTAGAGATGCACGATCCGATACCAATATCGGTCCTGATACAGAAAAAAACTTCTGGATCGGGTATCGTGACAATGTGACCGATCCGTGACTGGGCAGATCTATTCACTCTAATTCTATGCTTTGTGCTCTGAGTGACGTCACGCTCTAGCGAACTCACCTCACAGACGGTTTTCAAAATGGAGCGAGCGAAAGGGTCAGCCATCTGGAACTATTTCACACTACCTCAGCCAACACATTCGACAGCTACGTGCAATACGTGCACAGCAACGGTTCCAGGAGTTGTCACTAAAACTTCCAGTTATAAACACTACCAACTTCATCAAGCATCTCCAGAGATTTCACCCTAAAGAGCACGCGGAGTTTGCTGAACGGAATTCAGCACTGGTTTTCTGTATCAGATCTATATCGGATCGGTATCGGCCGATGCCAAACCTCAGGTATCCGTATTGGAAGTGGAAAAAGTGGATCGGTGCATCCCTAAACAAAACCAATAAAAAAAACTTTTCATATTTACAAACGTTCCCATATGGACAGGGCCCTGTCCATTAAAAAATAAATAAAAATAAAAAATCACAATTTTTGCAACATTCAACCAGGAACCAAATGGAAGAGATCGTTGTCTTACCTGCTGGTGACAAAACAAGGCATTTTTATTATTTTTCATTATATAAAGAGTTATAGATATCACGTTTTGGTTTCCTAAAGAAAATTAAAAACCATTGACACAAACGCCGTCTATTTACAGATTGCATTATCAGAAAAATGTGGTTTTCCTACTTCGTATCTCTGAACATATGACGCGAACATTTCAACATTCTACAAACTCATTGAGAAACTCCCAATAAAAGACATTTTGTTCAATTTGCAAAAAGAAATATAAACGCTAAGTAAAAACCTGCTAAATGTAGAACGTTATACACACTTTAACCTGCAATCAAGTATAATTTTTAAAAGCAAGCGTGACACACAAAAGGTTTCATAAAACAGGACTTTGTGTGTTTCCATAGAAACAGCAGGTTAGGAGTTATTGTGTTTGTTCGCTCATGTTGTGCAGCAGGCAAGTGACTTTTCCAAGTTTAGCTCTTTTACTTGAGACCAGGTCTTGTTTCAGTATTTTAATACGATCTCCTCACTTTCTAGTGGACCCTCCCCTCAAACAAACAGACGAATTCCCCCGTCTCCATCTGCGTGAACCAGTGTGTCTCTGAGCGGCAACAAATATCGAACGTCTTTTACTTCAGAACCTTCTAAATGTCTGGATATGTTTCTCAGTTTCCTCGCATGAGTTGCAGACGCTCACAGTCTTGTTGCTTTAAAAAAACTGAGCATGTTCACAGATTTGCGAGGCAAATTATATTCTTAAAATAGTCGCAGAGTTTTTGCGGGCATCTCGAGCCCTTCTCCATTTTGTTTAAGTAATAGTGTTAGAATCACAGATTTTTTTTCTGTTTATTTATTTTTTGCCTCTGTATGAAAGCTCAAGTGCATTTCTAACTCGACTCTATAAACATCGCTTCAACTTGCAGAATGAAAACAAACAAACAAAACAACTCCTGTAACCGTTCAGCTGCAGATATCCAGAACACAAGTCCACAAAGAAAGAGGATCAGGTGTGAAAATGAAAAATCACCCAACTCTCATCAACAGATGTAAACAGCCCTGTGACAGTCGACCCCCACCACCACCACCTCCTCCATGCTGTCACTGCCAGTCATTGATATTTAGCCCCCCCACACTCTGGAAATATAAACACAGACTCATGCTGGGCTAAGATCAGGCTGGCAGGAGATTAAAATGCTTTCTGAGACTGGAAAAAAGATGATGTCAGATGTTATAAATTCACGTACAAAGAATGCTCTTGTGTTGATGCCTGCTTTAAACCTGCTGGGGTGTCCAGCAGGGTGGGAGGAGGATGCTGGCTGATGGTTCTTTAGGGCAGTGGTTCCCAACCCTGGTCCTGGAGGAACCCAATCCTGCATGTTTTAGTTGTTTCCTGCTAATAAAATCACTGAGTCATGTGTGCTGGAGCAGGGAAACAACAAAAACATGCAGGACGGCGTTCCTCAAGGACCATAGTTCGGAATCGTTGCTTTAGGGGGAAGAGGGAAGGGAAGTGATTGTCATCACTGTATGTTCTCATACAATGGTGAAATTAGTTCTCTGCATTTAACCCATCACACGTGAGATAGACCCAGGTGGAGCAGTGGGCAGCTATGCAAGTGCCCCCCCCGGGGGGTGGGGGGGTGTAACTGGAAGAACTGCACTGCAGGATGTACAGGAAACCATCTGTGTTCTACTCTGAAAAAGTCAGAGAATGTGCCAAAGTTGAACGCTGCGTTTGAAACGGAAAAACATTTCTAAGTTTGGTTCGAGTTCCAGGAAAATCGTTGGGTTTAGCCGGGCTCGGCACCCCCCACTCTGTAAACAAAAGTCTGTCTCTGCATTATAATCACGTAGCCTCTTGTGGTTCACCCCCCGCTGTTTTCTCACAGCGCGCTGAGGTTTTGGGCTCTCTGCCCAGATGCATACGTCCCCCCCCCCCCCAATGCTCACTTGTCTTAATCTTCCTGAACATCTGAGATGCTACAAAAAATCTATTTTGAGAGCCGTTTCCCCTCAGTCACCTTTGCTATCATCACTTTCTCTGCATTTAGTTCACAGGAGAGCTCTCTTGCATGTTGTCCGTGTGCACCCCCCCTTCACCCCCACCTCATATAATATAAAGCCACATCTTAAAAATGATCTCATCTGCTGATGTTGTGATTAACCTTTAAAGCATGTGTCAAAGTTAAAACACTTCATTTTGTTGTTTAGGATGTCAACAATTGTCTTAATAGCAGCATGGCTTTAAAAACTTTAATAGTTTTTTGTAAATAAACTTAAAACAAAGACCTTAAAACTTATTTTATAGCTCATTAGATGATTAAAAATTAAAGCAAAAACTAAAGGCTTAAGATTTAATTATTTTCTTTATTACCACACTGGTACAGATTGTCCTAAATAGACATGGCATGTTTTTTTTTTGTTTTGTTTTTTTTACTACAGTTTTTAATGACAAAAATACGAAATTACTAAGATGAACATTTTCTTTGTAACTCAATAAAGCAAACAAAAACAAAGTAAATCTCTAAATCAGAAACCCCACACAAACATACAACATCCGCAGTCAGCAGTGCATCCTTTTCGCCAGTAACACAAGACGCCACGCACTATTTTAAAAGTTTGGGGTTCGAGCCACAGACGGCAGAGTGATTTATGGAGCTGTTTTTCATTAAAGCCACACTTCAAACTGCTTACACAAAGTTTCACGTTGCATCTGATTCAACTGCATCACCAGATTAAAAGTGCATGTTTGCTGCAGACAGGAAGTGGTATTCTTGTTGCTGTGACCTTCACATTCTTTTATTTATACTTTATTAGAGTCCTTGATTCACTTGCAGTAAGCCCCAGCTCGTATTTATCACGCTGTCATTACACACAAACACACACCTTCTTACAACTACAGAGACATGAGACTTGTGACATACAGTAGTCCCTCGCTACTTTGCAGTTTGACTTTCGCTGACTCACTCGTTTGTGGTTTTTCAAAGTAAGATTGTACACAAAAAAAAAAAACACAAGATTGTCAACTTTAATATTACTCACGTGATTGAGAGGGTATGGGATACAGTAAAAAGTTAACGAAAAACATTTTTTGGACAGGTGCCGCCATTTTGTAGTTTTCTCTCAATAAGCCTATATTGGAACGCCAGTCAAAACGACTACACTACCCAGAGGTCAACGGCCACTGCTCTCTGCCAAAACGGAGGGAAAGTTTTGCAATGCAAGCTCACAGAACCGGCAGGAAAGTCGCAAATAATCCTCTCTCTCATGCTGCTGTATTCATTCATACCCAGCTACTCACTACAGGCTCATGTTCGGGCTGCTGTTTAATATATCGTATTATTTTACATTATTAGTGTTTAGTGTATATATTAGATCTTTTAGCGTATTGTTTAGCGTTCGTTGAACGTATATCTAGGCCTTTCATGATAAACAATAAATCAATTAATCACATGATCAAGTAAAATGAGGTCGATGATTTTCATTTATCAGCTTTATTGTTTTTTGTGTCTCTCTCTTTCTACTGAAGACACTGGATGACAAAAGGCTCAACTCCAGTGCTCATCACTGACCCCTCTCTCTTTTTTCTCTTTAAAATCTGTTTTAACCGTTCAAAACCGCGTTTTTGGATCGTTAAAAGCAGTTAAGCTGAGAAGCTAAGCTAACAGTCCGACCTCGGGGAAAAACCTCCATCTTGTCGAAGCTCCAAAATTCACGGTTGAAACTCGTGCCTTCATGTAAAAAGTTGTTTTTCTCTGCAAAAAGAAGCTGAGAACTTGTGTACCAATTTTTTTATTAAAAGCTTTGTGTGAAAAATGCTATGCTAAAGAACTCAAACCACACCAAGTGTCTGCCATTTTGAGAACCCAATGTCAAGGGGCCTCTCTCCCATTTTTCTTAGAGACACGCTGCTCGCTCCCTCACCATCCATCCTTTGGTTCAAACAGTCTTATGCTGCCATCCAGTGGTCAAAAAAAAACTACACTCAAAACATATTAACCAACATTTCTTCTTAAATTTGACAATAATTACTAATTATTGTCAAATTTCAAACAATATCGTTTTTCACAATAATTTCTGAGACAATTAATCGCCCAGCAAAATTTGTTATCGTCACAGGCCTACGTATATCTTAGTGTATATCTTAGATACTTGTATACTGTTTCTTTTTATATTTTATATTTTTTCTATTTTGGGTGTAACTGGGACCTTGAGTACACAATTTCATTCCACCTCATGCAACAAGTGATGTGAATGAC